TGGAATCGGAATTCCATTTTTATTTTTATTGGAATGGCATTTTCCCATTTGAGGGAATGGTCATTCCCTATTCCTCTCTTAGGAATGAAATTCCATTTTTATTGATTTTAATTTTTATTCCCATTTTTGTCTGAACCAAATAGATTATGGGAATAGATCATTCCGATTCCAAAGAATTTTGATTCTAATTCCGATTTCAACTGTAAACCAAACAGACCTATAGACCTTTGCAACTATAAAAGCAATTCGGTTTAATATTTGGATGTGGGCATAAACCAATGGACAGCCAAATCAATGATCAACAGAAATAGCTCCAATAGTTTTAGTTATAGAACATTTTTTTGGGGTATGGGGAGAGGGGGTATTTTGTCATTTCAAAACTATTTTTTATAGGATACCATAAGAAGCATGAAACAAGAAAAGTACATAATTTACACAACATTCTGATAGGGAGTCCCTTCAATGTATCTAAAAGCAAGGGGAAGCATTAGACATTGTCAATAAAGAGAGGGGAGATTTTAGATAATTTCCCCATAAAATATTAAGGTTTAAAACGTAAGATTGAACCGCTTCCTGCACTGATCCACACTTCAAATTAATGTGTTTGGCAATGCCCCTACAAAAAACACCTTTGCAAACATAATTATCATTTTTTCTGCATGTTTCCTGGAAATGGAGAGAACATGGGAGATAAGACTGACCAAGGAATCATGGAAAGAACAAAAGGGGACATATACTGGGTAAGAGCTTATGTTTCGAAATCAATAAATAATACTAATAATATAGTCAAAATATTTTGAGTACATGAAAATCTATTTTTTATGAATGGATCAACGTAAGTACAAAGTCATCTTGTTTAATTGGTTCAACTAGTTTAACAAATTCTTTGTATTTATCACATGCTTAAACCCATAGTCCCATACAAGTTATGTTCCATGGGCCATGGCTATCTTATGTTTAAAATGGAAAAAATAACTGAATGACAAAGAAGTAAATTAATTAGGAAAAGCTTAGTTTGAGGCTCAAAACTGACTCACATCACCTCCGATACACAAAGAACCTTTTTTTTCCTTGGTACTCCATCTATTTATCTATACTATTATCATAAAGCGGATACTAGGAATGGCAACGGGGCGGGGCAGGGCGGGAACGGGGAACCTCTCCCAATCCTTGTTTCCGCAAAAATCCCCATCCCCATCCCCATCCTCGCTAACGGGGACAAGGTTATCCCTATCCCCGTCCCCACGGGGATCTCCATCTCCGTGAGAATCCCCATTCCCCGTAATTTTTTATAATGTTAACCATTTTGGTTTTGTTTTTTGTTTTACTTTAAAAAATAAAAATGAAATAATAAAATTTATAATTTTATTAGAAAAGATTCAAATATATTCAACTATATTTTTAAAAATATTAATATATAGATGTATGTGTACATATATACATATATAACATATGCATGCATAATATACATATATATTAGTGGGGATCCCACGGGGTGGGGATCGAGGTCCCCGTGGGGCAGGGAGTGCTCTCCCCGTCTCCACGAACGGGGATGAAAATTTCCCCATCTCCATCCCCGCGAAGGGGAAATTATCCCCATCCCCTGTCCATTCGAGGCAGATCCCCACAGAGATCGAGGAAATGGGGAAAATTGCCATCCTTAGCGAATACTTGCAGTGCAGGTCATAAAAAGTTACATTTGAATTTTTAATATCAACTTATATATTTACATTTGCATACATAACACGTGCCTTTAACACTAGTTTCAATAAATACTATTATTTTATCAATGACATTGTTATTATATTGACCAATTACATCAATAGATCACCACATTATTAGATAGTTATGCCCTTAGCTCCAATCAGATTGATGTACTTATTGACATTTATTGTAAATGAATAAAATGCATAATTGATTCATGTTATATTGGTGTGTTTCTGTGTAATACCTTTAAACTGGACACTAATGAGATTTGTGTTAGTTTAGAGTCTTCACAGCCATTGGATAGACCTGGGGAGATTTATCCTACCAAGGTTGACACTGATGTGCTGCCAAGAAAGTTGGGGTGGCTTGTCTTAACTGCTAGGGTAAGACCCAAAGCACATGAAGTGTGAGTTTTCTTGAAACCCTAAACCGGAACAAATTCTAGTATTGCCCTGGACCTTTAAGGCAGATGGGCAAAATTGTTTCACCTAACCCCTAGACTCAATTATGATACTGCACTAGGTGTTGGATTGGACTGTCTTTGATATGCCAATCAATGAGATCCTTTACCAGGTCAAAACCTGGGTATGTTGGGGCAGTCCGAGAATTCATCTGAATGGGTGATCATAGCGACGGGATCAACCCCTTTATCGGACAAAGTGAATAATCAAGGAATGCACTTTCTAATGGAAACCTAAACTGTCGATAGTTGATTTTAAATTGTTGAGATTTGTTTTGCAAAATATATTTATATAAAGATATACATATATATTATGGTTTCACAAAATGGTTTGCAAAAGGTTTTAATTTCCAAGATCCATGTGAATAGAGAGTGCAACACTATACCTAACAGCCGAGGGAGAGGTCATTTCTTGTTGGGTAGTGTTTGATCATTGAGGGTTGGGAGGTTAAGTGTAAAACCATTAAGGGTTGGGAGGTTAAGTGTAAAACCATTAAGGGTTATACCTGATAGGCTAATCTTGCATCTGCCCACAGTCCTTGGGCCTTCATAAGGTGACTAGACCCAATGACTATTTAGTGTAAATGTTGGGCCCATTATGAACCCATACGAATGGACTCAGGGGTGCACTGTGTTTTATAGTGTATTCGGCCAGTCTTGTAACAAAGGCTGGGTTGAACCCATGTGACTAATGTGTAGATCAGTGCTAGGGTCCCACGCCATACATAGAGAGCCAAACTAGCCAGCATTTAGGGGATGACGTGAATAGCATGACTAAATGGGCCTAAAGCCTATTACGAATTAAGCTTAATATAATTAATTAAATAAGGGACGAATCTAAGTATGGATCAGTAGATAAGGATAAGAGGATAACTCTTATCCATTTAAAGGGTCCAAATCCAAATAAAGATTTGGATTAGGATACTCCTAATTGGATTAAAAGCCTTATCACTTAAAGAGTCCAAATCCAAATAAAGATTTGGATTAGGATACTCCTAATTGGATTAAAAGCCTTATCACTTAAAGAGTCCAAATCCAAATAAAGATTTGGATCAAGAAACTCTTAATATAATTAGGAGATTATCTCTTTAAGATGGAGAAAGGCGAATTCCTTAGTACTAACACCAGAAGGAATTCTTTTCTACAATTCTGCTCTCTCTCTCTCTCTCTCTCTCTTGCACCTTACCTAGTTCGAACTCCACCTGTTGGAAGTGATCAATAATTGTTCTTGATATTGTTTCTTGGTGAAGAAACAACTTGAAATTGTGCTCACTCAACCCTACACGATTCTTGCTGAAGAATCACATGTTTTTGTTGAAGAACCCTTCTTGCTGAGCTTGCCTCAATATATGCTGTGTCATCTTCAGTGAAAGCAGATTTGGTGACCTCTTTGGGCGTGAACACCTACGTTGAGAGTTATATTTGATTCTGTATCAGGTACTACCCTCTCCCTTTCTTTTGGTTTCATATCTGGTCCGATTTGTTTTAAAAACGAACTTAGAAAAATGCACTTTTTCTAAACCAGGGAATAGGATTCCCGAATGGGAGAGAAAAATTTTTTGAAATTTCGCCCAACCACCTTGCATGGTGCGGCCATCCATATGATGGATCTCCCATCCCTTCACACACTACATTAGATATCAAGCTTATTAAAAAATGTTTTGGCTATCTATTTGAAAACGAAATTGGAATTCTGCAAGTGAAGCAAAGAAGACTTCTTAAGCAAAAAATCTAAAGCAGTTTAAGGATTGATTTGGACTAATTAGTTCCCCATATTGGGTCCATTAGATAGAAGTCACACTTCTATACATCGAATGTTACAAACTATCGTCAATCATATAGTCAAATTACATAATTTATAAAAAAGATAAAGAAAAGCATTTTAGACTACAGTTTGATGGAACTAACCAAAGTCTGACTAGAATTAAAAGAGTCTTCCTCACTCCTCAAGGCCAACTGCAAGTATCTTTTGGGACTTTGATGGATCCATAGAGAGTGTTGATTTAACTAAGGTGGAAGGTAGAGCCATTCCACAAGGGAGATCAAACTGCCAAGCAATCCCACCTCCTTGGTCTCCATTCGTATCAAAGTGTGGAGAGTGGCCTTTTGCCATGGCTCATAACCTCAACATGCTAGATTAACTGATATCTATAAAGGGGCCTTTTTATACAGCCATAGAATTTTCAGAGTAGCTTTCCATGGGCAGAAAGGCTATGTTGATAATTCTATATAGCCATGTATAACATCCTGTCATGTACACTTTACAACACATATTTCTAGTACTATAAATGCGGTCACTTATCCTTAAAAAGAATAAAATTATGAACTAAAATCTGACATGATATCTATGTTAAATCTAGCAAGCTTTGACTTACTGGCTCTGGGCCTTTATTTTTCAAACTTCAAAGGATTCTTCTCTAGTTAGACTTCTTAATGGACTAAATACTGATACCAATTGGCAATAAGAAATTTTATGAGAAGTATCTCTATGGTCATTCTAGATTGTCCTCTCAGATGGACAACTTCAGATTGGTCCTCTCAGTCCTCCATGTAGCTAAATCCTTTAGGTGATGGAAGAGGGTATGGAACTTATTCAATAATGTATTTATGTGACACAATTACATTTCATCATTATCATGGATTTAACATCAGGGTCTCTTTTCTTTGCGTGGTATTGCTGAGGATAAACCTTTGGAGCAAAAGAAATGATGTCCTGTCATGCACCTTGTGTTATCAATGAAAGAGGTGTCAATTGATAATTCTCTTTCTTTTCAGAATTAAAAGTTAAGAATAGGAAAATATAGTCATCCACTAAAGCAAGTAAACAGGTAGAGCATTGAAGAAACAGAATTATATATAAATCACAAAGAAACAAAGATCCTTCCGTGAAGAGCATCCTCTGTTTATTTCAAAATCAGAGAAAGTATTCTCTTGTCCCTCTGATAGTCCATACAGAGTGTTCATGATCACTTTAAAGAAGCCGATCAAGAAAGTCCAAAAAGGTAATCGAAGCATAAACGCACATTTTACTACAAGCAACAAGACTGTCAAATAAAATGTAAAAAGTAGATAAATAATACCTGAACTGTTGGGTACAACCTACTTTTGCACTTCATTCTCTTCGTGTTCTTCTTCTACTTGTAGATGATTAAACATAAAAAGCAGGAAAGAGAGACAGAAGCAGTAACAGAACACGAGCAGACTGATAACCACGAGAAGGAAAGAGTTAAAGGAAAGAAGAGTTAAGGAGGGTTGAAGAAAGTTTGTATACATGGGAAAAGTTATTCATTTGAACTAGGAAACAAAGGAGGGAAGGAATGAAAGAAAGGGGGTTATCCACATTAACAGCTTCAGTATGTTGCTAAGATGACATATCATATAGAGTCCAATGCAGATGGTCACTCCACAGTGCTCACTGGTATTGCGAAGGTTTGCAGCTATGCTATTTCACCGGACCTCAGTATTTGAGGCTCCAAACCTCCAACTAACATTTATGGTTATTAAACTGTTCCAATCAAATCTCTGTTGGATCAAAACAACGCATGTAATTTTTCCATATAACTCCAACAACAATCAATAAAGGGATGGTCAATCAGATTGGCTATTGATGCTGTAGATATTCCCAATCACTCCTACAATGCTCACTGATATTGCCAATGTTAACATCAACCATGACAGAATCTTCTCTCCATGGCTCAAATCCTCCCCTTCATGATTTAATCTCAAGGCAATAAGAGATGGGAATATAAAACCCAGTGAAAGTGCAGTTGTTGCCCCAGTAAACTTGAAAGCTACCCAAATGTTGGGTATCGCGGTAGACCCAAGATAAATAAGAACCAACAGAACTGCTGTCAATGCTAGCAACCTCTTTCTACTTTCTGAGAGTGGAGATGATCCGTGGAATATTAAGGCATCCACTGTTTGCCTCAGAGAGAAATGGATAACAGGAAAGACAAGTACCAGATGAAGAATGTACCCCACACGGACAATATAATTCAGAGTTGAACTGAAACGTATTCCAAGGTCTTTATCAAAGTTGGTCAGAACATCTGATTCTGTATCCTTCCCAAACAACAGATACCCAGATATGGCTGTTGAGGCATAAACCAAGACACACAACACAGTGGTTATCCTTCCCACCCGATTCATCTTCTGAGGAGATCGTCCTTCAAGCTCATTATATATAGGTTGAACATTAAAATGACAAACATAAGCATTTGTCATGATTGGGATCACTACAAGCAGATCCATTATGGCTTTCTTGGATCCAATATCTGGGCCCATCCTTGGCGTCTCTATCCGCCCTTCAACAAGCTTAATAAACGCAATCACACAGGAAACTATGACAAAAACAACTGCAAGAGCCACTGAAGCAGCTGATGTCAAGCTCAAAGAATCAATCTTCTCCAAGGCACAAAGTGGTGCAAGAAAAACTACCACAATAATCAATATCACCAGCTTCCTCTGATCCCAGACTCCATTTCCCAGCAACTGATCAAAAACCCCCACATGATCCGAAGAACCAGACATGACATCACCCATAATTATCAAGTAAACCACCAAAATTCCAGCATTGTTAACAATTATACAGATCTCAGAAAGAATCCTGGCCGGACGACCCAATGCAGATTGAACAATATCACCATAAGAATATGCCTTGCGAAGAACAGAAAACCGAACAAGCAATTCAATACTTATCTCCGACAAAATACCCATCAGAATAATAAGAACAAACCCGAGAACCAACCCAAGGACTTTCATGGTGGCGGGAAGGGCCATAATTCCAGCACCAATGACCGAGGTAGCAAGGTTAAAAACTGCACCAGAAATCTCAGATCCACTCTTAACATCGCCGCCAACGATAAGCGGGAAATCGTCTTCCTCACCAATACTATCAACATGGTTAAGATCTTGATCTCTTATTTCACCTAGGGGCACCAATTTTACAAACGCGTTTTCGGAAGATCTGGGTTTTGGGGATTCAACATGATAATCATCGTGTAACTGTAATTCTACATATGAACTTCTTGGAAGAGCAGAGTAATGGCTAGTCATTGTTATTGTTCTCTATAGAGTTCTTACGTAAGAAATAAAAAAAGTGATTTTTTTTTTTTTAATTTGTTGCTTTTGCAGATCTGTGTAAGAATGGAGAGAAAGACTTACTCGGGTGATCTGCGATATGATACCATATTTGTTTGGATAAGAACAGCAGAAGACAAACCCTAGATTCGGGGCTCCAGCATCAAACTTCCAACAGGCAACAGCTGTCTCAGCTGCCCGGTGGAGGAGGAAGAGGATTAGGGGAGGGGGAGGGAGAGGGAGACACCAACAAACGGAAATTAGCCGTCTGAAGGGTTCCCAGCTTCTGATTGGGCGTAGACTTACCACATTTTGGTATTCGGATAGTCAGAGTCAAAAGAGCCGCGATAGTCGACTTTCGGAAGTTAAGAAACAGAGACGGCGTTTCTTACGGTGTTTGCTTTTCAAACGTTTTTCCTTCGCTAGAGCGTGGGATTGACGGTCACGACTCAGTCAGAAATGAGTCATGACCACTTACTGGCCGGGTTCGGTACGGTTTAAGCTCGACCCCCAAGTTCACCAAACACCAGCCCATTTCAAATCCGCCCTGCCCTGTGAAACACAGCAGGGTCGGACAATTCGGGTAATGAAGCTGGTCTTATTCATTTTCAATTCATTGGAGTTTTTATATGCATTTTAGTAAATTTCCAAATGACATTGTGATTCAAACAATGTAATGCAGATTGCCATATTAGGAATTTAGGAGATAGGGATGGATGCAATTTGGGCGGATTCGGGTTTAGGATTTGATAAAATTTGAATAATCCCGGTCTGAGGTTAGGTACCCGACTACCTTATTTAGAGTTTTTGTTCTTGAATCCGATTCTCTGTTATCCAATGTTCTAATTCTTGGCGTGGAGGCTGACCCACTTTTCCTTCCATATCAACAGCTAAACGATTCAACCACTTGGATCAATGTCTCAACTCGTGAAGTATGTACTGATGTTATTATTAAGATAAATGAGAAAGGTGATGAACAAGAACTTAGAATTAGAGACATAGAAAAGAAACAAAGTTAGGAGGTGACTTTGTTACTTATTTGGTGGAGGATAATCCTAAAACATATCAAGAGACTATAACATCTATAGATTTATCATTTTGGAGAGAAGTCATTGATAGTGAACTAAAGTCAATTATGACTAATCATTTTTTGAAATTGGTAAACCTAACTCCAGGAACTAAAACCATTGGTTGTAAGTGGGTGTTTAGGAAAAAATTAAAACCCAATGGAATCATAGATAAGTTTAAGGCAAAGCCGGTAGCTAAGGGATACAAACAAAAAAGGTGTAGACTACTTTGACACCTACTATCTAGTAACAAAAATAATAATTATTAGAGTCCTAATTGCCATATGGCATCTATATATAAATTAATTATAAACCAAATGGATGTAAAAACTATGTTTTCTAATAAAGATTTACAAGAAGAAATATATATGGATTAACCCAAGGGTTTTAGAGGTCTGGAACAAGAACATAAAGTCTGCAAACTAGTTAAATCATTATATGGACATAAAAAAACCCCTAAATAGTGGAATGAAAAATTCAATAACATTGTAACAAATAATAAATTTGTAGTAAATGATATGAATACTTTTGTAGCTGCAAATTCAATGAAAATTTAGGAGTAATAATTTAATTATATGTTGAATGTTAGAGAAATTTAATCAATCTAATTGTATACCTGTAAGAACACCTTATGATTCTAGTGTTAAATTAAAGAAAAATAATGGTGTTGTTTTTAAACATAACTATGCTAGAATAATAGATAGTTTAATATTTTTGATAAATTGTGCATGCCCGGACAATGCATTTGTTGTTAGGAAACTAAGTAGATATATCCATAATCTTGGATGTAAGCATTAAAATACATTAATTAAAATTTTGTGGTACCTGAAAGGTACTATCCAATTGTATTAGAAGGCTATTGTGATGGAAACTGGATCTTAGATTCAAAAATCCACTAGTTGATATGTATTTACCTTAGATGGTGAAACTATTTCATGAAAGTCCACCAAACAAACTTGTATTGCAAAGTCAACAATGAAATCTAAGTTCATTGCTTTAGAATAAGTTGGTGTGGAGGCCCAATAGCTTCTTAATTTATTGGTTGACTTACCCTTTGTGGACAAAACCAGTCTTGTCTGTTTCTTTGCATTGTGACAATGAACCGGCAATTGCTAGAACAAAAAACAATAGCTACAATGGAAAAAGTCGACATATTCAACTAAAACACAATATAGTAAAAAGGTTAATAGGTGATGGTATGACCACACTTGAATTTGTAAGGCCAGAGAAAAATTTAGCAGATCCTCTGACTAAGGGACTGAGGGGAATAACAAGTCATTATAAGTTTGGTAGAGCACTATCATATTATGTTTTGAGAGTGCCCATCCCCCTTGTATAAATAGTGCTAACTGCAACTTAAGGAGGTTAAGTAATTTACTCTTAATGAATTCATAGCACCTATGGGTGGTATGGATAGTTTCAGTACACACTTAATAAATTCACCTATATGAGTTTGGAGGTGAGGCCTCCTCTTATGAGAACAAGGGCTTTGTTCTCTAGAACATTCATAAAAATTCATATATATGTGCATGGCCGAAACATACCAAACCGTGACAATCAATTGTTATAAAGGGCAATACATGTGTTGTAAGTGCATCTAGGTTACATTCATGGAATTTGGTTCAAGACAATTTCACCAAATTTCAGTAACACATGCCTTATAAGCACTAGATATCGATTCAAGTCCACAAGACATCATCACTAATTCATTTTTCTTTTCAAAGTGTGCCCGATTTGGGTTATCTTAATTTAAATCATGTGGGGGATTGTTGGTACTTTTTCTTGGTTTTTGTGTGATTCAAATTACTTAAAATTCACATTTGTGCCATCGGGAGATGTTCCCAATACAAGGTCGGGATGTGCTATGGGGCATTGTGGGGTGCCCCCTTGTGGGGCACAGATGTGAACTCTTTGATGCTTTGTCTTTTCTATTTTGTCCGCTAATAAAGTGGTTTGAGTCCCACATGGACTAGAAAGAACACTCCCTTTGGTTTTATTTACTATCATGTGCTATTGAGTTTGTGTTTAGGGCTTGTAGGGAGAGTGCACTTGGACCACCACATGCACACATACATCGGGCTAGGCCAGGCTGGGCTAACACAGACGCATGCCCGTCCATCCATTTCTAAGGGTTCTCTTTGTAACTAACCCACTTTCCTTTTGCATGGGTGAACTCTTAAAATTGGTGGGAGTTGTTGGAAGACATTTCTATCATGGGTTTTCTTACTGGCCAAGAGTCCAAGACATTTGCGTTTATATAGCATCGAACTTTTGGCCATTTCAGTGTGTGTTTTGCTCTCTTGTGTGCACTTTTTTTTTCTTTTTTTACTCTCCCAATGTGTGTTATTCTTCTCCTTAAGTTGTTATGGGTACACATAACAATCCGATTCGTTGCTTTGGGCTGTAAATGCACACAACGCCAAGGCTAAGAGTTTTTTTTTTTTTTTTTGCAAAGGAAAGTAGCCAGCACTTCATTAAGTTAAACTGAACTGCACAGATGTAGATAACCGTGGGTTATAGAGTATTTTAACCTGGCCTTTGCATGCCAGATAGGCTAGTATATGAGCAGCCTTGTTGTAGTTTTTGTTTATATGTACAAACTCTAATTGTTTAAAAGTAGATAAAAATCTTGATAGTTGTACACAATGTAACTGGTCTATCCACTTCTTTGGTTGACTTTTATCCTGCAAAAAATCTATTAGCTGCGATGAATCACTATATATCATGATCCTGGATATCTTGAATTGGCTGGCTGCTTTGAGCCATTGGATTAAGGTACGGAGTTCCGCATCATAACTATCGATGGCCCAACATGGTTCTCCTTCAGCAAGGCCTAAGAGTAAATCATACGATCCATCAATGTGAAATGTGGTAAGGGTGTTCCTTCTCTCATTTGTTGGGGTGATAACCCTTATATTTTCGATGCACTATTCCTGAGAGCATTGATACTTCCACATTCAAGAGATGATGTCCCTTGGGGTAGTATTCTTGAGATAAAAAATGAAGTTGTTTCTGGCTCTCTATATGAGATATAGTAGAGTGCAGCCCTTTCTTACGATATGTATAGCCTCTTGTGGCGGTAAGTTCTTTTTTAATCTTTCCCACCACTTTATGATGAAAACATAAGCTTTCTCTTCCTCTTTGATGTCATTTGGGTTCAGCCCTACCTGGGCCTCACACCAAACTGCTCTTGTGAAAGGGCATGTAAAGAGTATATGTGAGATTGTTTCCTTTTTGTGTGCTTCAAATGAGGGGAGCCATTTCGTGCATTTACTTCGGGTTAGAAGGCCATTCCACACCACTTTCTAAATTATACACCTATAGGGGATATTTAGTTTCCATAGATCTTTCTATGGGAAATGTGCTTTGGAGGATGATGGTTTCTAACTTTCAAAAACTCTATATGTCGACTTCACTGTGTATATTCCAGAGGTGTTGCATTTTCACAAGATGTTATCATGACTTGACTTTGTGTCAGGGGTAATTTGAAGGATATGAGAGCAAGTTTGTTCATCAAAAGTTTAGGCCAAAATATGGTGGTTCCAACTCCAGTCTAGGTTCATTAATGATGAGACATGTTGATTGTAGTGAGACTCAATGATTATGTCTTTTGGATGTGGGATTCCCCCTATGATAGTTGGAACCCATGGGTTCAAGAAAACTGAGATGTTTCTGCCTGAATTGACTTGCCATATTATGTTTGGCTTCAATTCTTTTAGAAGTTTGCGTGTGGAACACCACCATAGTGATGAATTACGGGTGATTTTGGCTTGAAATGGGCTTTGACTTGGGAAATACCTTTGTTTGATGATTTGACTCCACAATGTGTTGGGAGAGGATATCATTCTCCATACCTGTTTCCCAAAGACTGCCTTGTTCATGTCTTGACTTTTTCTGAATCCTAGGCCTCCGTTTTGTTTTGCTTGATTTTCTATTCTCCATTGTATTGTGTGTTTGGACTTGTTTTCACCCGTATGCCACTAGAAATCCCTCATCAACTTGTTCAGTTTGGAGAGTGTTCCATGGGAGAGAATTGTTGTCTGCATGGAGTAAACTAGAATGGCTTAGACAACTAATTGAATCAAAGTGGTGTGACCTGCTTGGGATAGAAATCTGGAGTTCTAAGATGTGATTTTTTATATCACCCGACCCACTAGGGGCTGATGTGTTGATATCCTAATATCTTGTACTCCTAGTCGAGTGCCCAGATAGCTCATAATTTGCCTTTTGTCCCAAAAGATGCTCAAATATGGATAGGATGTGGCTTAGAACTCTTG